GGAGGGTCGACAAAAGAGGGGGAGGCCTTCAACAAGATGGATTGATACGGTGGCTGCGATGATGGGCTCAAGTATAGCAGGGATTGTGGGGCTGGCACGGTATCGGGCAGTGTTTCGTTCTGCTGTGCATGGGGTCGCTATGAGTCGGAAACGACTCGACGGTACTTAACAACAACAACAACTGTTGGGCTACAGTGGCAATCACTGGGTCATCAGTTTTATTTGTTTTTATTATTATTATTGATTTTTGTTATAAGGATCAGGTAATATTTTAGTGGATTTTTACCTCTATCTACTTTGATCATTCAAATTCTATGAATAATTACTATTGCCAAAGACTCCTATGGTTTAAACATTCTAATTATCTGTGACTGACTGGGCTATTATATTGCCCACTGAAATCAGGGAGCTCATTTCATGTCAGCATCCTCCTCCTTCATCCCAGCCTGTAGGTGATAGCCAGTGCAGAGCTTTTTTTTTTTTTTTTTAAATTGTGATTTGGGTGACAGTTTACAGAGCAAATTCACTTTCCATACAGCAGTTCACATACACTTTGTCTCATGACATTGACAACAATTTACCCCAATGCAACAGCTCCCCTCCCACTTCCTCCCAATAGTTACCTCTTCCCTGTGTCCATCCCTCCATGCACTCCTACCCCCTGAGCTGTCTTCCTGTGCATAAGCACCCCTTCTTTTTCCTGTGATTGTTCTCTCCAAGGAGTGTATCTACCTCAGGTAAATGTTCAACTCCTATGCCTGTCTTTTGTTTGGCTGGGAGCCACAGGTGTGAGTCCAATTCCAGACCTAACGGGCAGCTAGGGACTCAGTGGTTCCACCAGGTTCTATCGGACCAGCAAACCTGGTCCCCCCCTTTTCTTATTCTCCAAATGATTTTGAGTTTTGTTCCACATTGTTCTCCCTCTCTATCCAGGATCTCCTACACAAATCATCTTCCAAGTGGTTGACAGTGGTAGCTGGGCACCATCTAGTTCTTCTGGTGTCATAGTCATATAGGCTGCAGATCAGATGGTGTACCAGTCACTAGGACTAATTGTTTCCATGAATTTTTGGTTTTCTTCATTCTTTTTTGCTCTGGATGAGGAGACACCCATTGTTGCATCTAGATGGCAGCTTGCAAGCTTTTAAGATCCCAGTTGCTACTCACCAAAGTAGGAGGTGGAACAATGTTTTATGTAGTATGTTACGCCGATTCAGCTTGATGTCCCCTGCGACTATGGTCCTGAGTCCACAGGTTCAACTGCTCAGTCCCTCTGGGTAGCTGGGTGTGACCAAGAAATGACTACAACCTTGCCCCTTGTCAGCTCTACTATACTGGACATATAATACTAGATTGGCTTTTTTTTTTTCTTTCAGGGTTTTATATATGTCATCCCATTGTTTTCTTGCCTGCATGGTTTCTGCTAAGAAATTAGAGACCAGTCTCATTGGTTCTCCTTTGCAGGTGAATTTTCATTTTTCCCAAGCTGCTTTCGGGATTCTTTGTCTTTACTTTTGGAAAGTTTGATTATGGTAGGTGTTGGTGATTTTCTTTTGGGGTCTTTCCTATTTGGGGTTCATTGAGCTTCTTATCTGCAAATCTCCTAATTTCACCATCATATTTGAGGGACAGTTTTGCTGGATATATAATTCTTGGTTGGAAATTTTTCTCTTTCAGGGTTTTATGTATACTATCCCATTGGTTTCTCACCTGCATGGTTTCTGCTGAGAAATCAGAGCTTATTCTTATTGGTTGTCCTTTGTAAGTAACTTTTCATTTTTCCCATGCTGCTTTCAGGATTCTTTCTTTGTCTTTGGTTTTG